AAAACAGGTGAAGAGAATTTACATTCCATTGCCAGATGAAAATGGTAGAAGACTTCTTCTCAAGCACAAACTCAAGGGACAGTCATTTTCTCTACCAAGTAAGAATGAGGTTTTAGAAGTTTCAGCAAGATATTTCCTCAAATATTTATAACGTTACCGTAAATATTTGATATTCTCTAAGCATAGGGTGTATATATCATACTAAAAGAAAATTATTTGATTCCATTATTATTATGAGCTCTCAAAAAGTAGAATAAATATTGGACCTATTAACCATCATGAGTTGGCAAAGTGGTTGAAGGAGAAGTTGTAAACTTATATGTAAAGTTTATGAGTTCAATTATGGTAGTGGCTTATGTAAAATATTAAATATTCTACAGTTTCAACCCTTTATTGTTAGGTAGGGTGATTATTCTTTGGGATTGGTAGATTTGCATGTAAGCCAATGGCTATGACTTTGGACTTTAAATAATTCCCCTCTCCGTCCAGTCACCAGTACCATTAGCCCCATCCTAGTTAAGTCTTCCATTGTTGTCCTTTATATTCACCCAATTTCAGCCTTTCATTGTAGTTGATGCTTCTGAGGTCTGATTGATTAATTTAGTATGCTGGTTAGAATCGTGTGTCCTGTTTCTTGTACTAACAAAAAAAAAATATATATATATATATACCTGTTCTGATCAGTTGCATATATCACATTGTACTAAATGCTTTCATTTGCTAATGGAATGCGGTGGAACATTGTTCTTGTGCTATGTGATTTGTATCCTTTCAGTCGAACCATTATATCTTTTTGCTACTTTATTGTAATTAACGTAAATGCCTAATTCTCCTTGACAGGTAGAGATCTAGAAAGACTAGTTATACAGACCGAAGGTACTATTTATTTTTCTTGTTTTCTTGTTCCATAAATTTTTTAATTTTTCCATGCTTCACCAATCGAAAAATTTGCATCAATTCAAGAACAACATGGACATGTATGAGCTAGACAACCCTGTGCCTCTGATGATCTTTACACTATCCTATTTTTGCATATGGAAGACTTCCACAGCTATTTACTTTTCAATAAGAAACTAAACTTCTATTAATAAGAATAAAAAAGCATAAGTTGGAAGTTAGAACTAGAAGGGCCATGCTGAAAAAGGGGAACAAAACGAAAGGGAACATTTATTCCCAGTTTATATCTGATGGGCTTTACCAGGAAAAAAAAAGGAAGAAAAAGAATAAAAAGGAACATTTCCAAGCAGGAACTCTAGTGGTTAGTTTAGTGATCAAGAGCATAGTTACATGGGAATGCCTTGAAAAAAGATAGAAAAAAGAAGCCTCACTCCTGGCCTTCTCCATAATAGACAAAAACCTGAGAACTTTAGCAACAACTCGAAGTTTGAGCTGAAAAAGCTTATGGTATTATTTTCATGTGCAGGATACTCTGGAAGTGATCTACAAGCCTTGTGCGAGGAAGCTGCAATGATGCCAATTAGAGAGCTAGGTGGGAACATCCTCACAGTAAATGCAAATCAGGTGATTCATATAAAAACTGTTCGCATACTTTTTTAAACTCTGTTCACTGATTCTATTCTCTCTGTTTCACTAAACATTGGAGTGAAGTAGCATTTATCTTTTGTCGATTCATATCATATCTCATGTAATTCTTTTCAGAATAAAGCTCATTGATCAATAATAGTTTTACTTGTGTTGATTAAACCTATATTATTATATTTTTGTCAAACTCTATATAGTTCATCTGGATTTTAAAAATGCTCACTTCCCCCGTTCTTCTGAATTTTTAGAAGCATGTCTTTGCACTTCAAGTCAGTTCTCAAATTATGTATGTAGAGGTCATTCTGTATGGACTTCATCCCTCGTATGCTTTTTTCCATTCTGATACTATATTTCCCTGAAGTAACAAAGAGAAATGGGTGTTCATCCTATAAGCTGACGACAGTTCTAGAAGAATAATTTACCATTATAAGAACTCTCTAAAGTTGATTTGGTAATCCCATACCCCTTATGTTAGAAGACAGAAAATTGGGACGAAGGAATTAGTTAGTTAGAAGCGGCATGGGGTGTGCATAATTTATTTACGTAGGTGAAGTATAGTGGAAAAACGGGTATTATGTGTCTTGTAGAAACTTTTTGGGACTGACTGAGCCTCTGAAAACTGCCTGTGACTTGTCTCTTTTCCTCTCATTTTGTGCTATTCTGGATTAGTAAAGTCTGACTATCGCGCCATCGTATCATAACCGTACCCAGTACGGGGTAATCTCGTGCAAACATTGAAATTTTACATTTTTTTTTTTGGTGTACCAGATAAGGGCATTGAAGTATGCAGATTTCCAGGAGGCAATGAAAGTGATACGACCCAGTTTAAACAAAAGCAGGTGGGAGGAGCTTGAACAATGGAACCAGAGTTTTGGATCCCACTAGATTATATATGCACAAATTCTCGAACCCCTTCGCTATGCCATATATTATATTTGTACAGTCAACCTGGAAAAAAAGTACTTTTAAATAGTTCGATTCTCTGTTTTCTTCTTTGAGATGGCCTAATCTTAATGTGGGAAAATAATTTGTAACTGAGGAAAAAAAAAAGGAAAAATAATGAAATTATCATCTTTTCTGTTCGACATGTGAAAGCAAACAAATGTTATTTCTCTCTCTTTTTTTCCCTCCGGACAAAGTGATTTTACTATTTAATTTGTAGTTTTATTTAATTGAGTGAAAGAATTGATCTTTTTTTATCAACAAGACTCGATTTTTTAATCCAAAAAAATATATTTTGGACCATTAAAAGATTTGTAAAAACTTGAGAGAAATTTCACATTAGGTATGTTAAAAGAACTCTCCACAACTCCTTTTGTTGTTGTTTTTTTCCAAATATAACATTTAAGTCCAGGGACTGTCATGGGAATCTCAAATTCTCTTGAGATGGTCATCTAGATGTCTGTGTTGGAATGTTGGATTTTCGGATATCTTATGATGCCGGTAAGGGAGCAATTTTAGATGCCCTCCTGTAACATGTTGTTCTATAATATTTTTTCATCAATAATATTTATTTCTCATTTATTTTATTTTATTTTAAAAATAAATGTATGCACTAATTCATTGATAAATGTCTAAATATAATTTTATTTATATACTACATTTAGATATAAAATAAGCATTAGTCAATGTTATAATATATTAATTTGTTTTTAATTCAAATCTATGTGCAATCTTTTGTTTATTTAATTCTTACCATAGTCACCAAACATAAACTAAAATTGACATAAAAATATAATATTAAATTAATAAAAGTACAATTTTTATATGAATTCAAATAATATTAAATTTAACATATAAATTATATGATGACCGGTAATGGCATTTTTGGAACATTACATAAATTTATTCCTAGATATTCTTATAATTTTCCTACAAAACAAACGTGTTATTTGAAATTTCGGATATCTAAAATTTCGGATTCCACGCATCTGTAAACGTTAAATAGTTTATGTCATATATATTTTTTTTAGTACAATACGTGACGTCGTAGGATTGCAATGCTATATTTAAAAAAAATATTTATTTTATATTATTCATGTGAACACAATAAAATTTGAACATTTTACAAATCTTCGAGTTCTCCTACCGTACTTCGATTCTCGTGTCGAGATAACTCCAATCTAAAAAAACCAAGTTTCGCATTGACAAGAATGAACAAATGAAACGATGACGACAAATTGTTCGATTAAGAAATGAAAATTATTAAAGTCAAATGATCGCTCACTCTCAAAGTCGTTGATCTTCTGAATCCGTCTTCTTCTTCGGCCATGGCGATTCTTAATTTCAATCTCTCAACAACATTTTCTCCCGTTTCTAGCAGCAAAATCCACTACCTTCACCCGTAAACTTCGATCGAACAACGAATCCATTATCCAAATATATGATTATGATTTAGGCATGGAAGTGAATATCATCAACATCTTCTTCACCGTCGTCTCCTTCATATTATTCACAAGCTTCCTCTTCTTCTTGATCGTCCTCCTCCGAACGCTCGCCGGAAAGTCCATAACGAACTCGGAGTACGCGCCGGTGTACGGCAGCGTGTACGGGCAGGCTTTGTACTTGAAGAAGCTGTTCGATCACCTGACGGAGGTGGCGAAGAAGCACGGCACATTCCGGCTGGTTGCGGCGGCGTACAGCGAAATATACACGATCGATCCGAGGAACATCGAGCACATATTGAAGACGAAATTCGACAAGTATTCAAAAGGAAGCAACAATCAAGCGGTGGTTGGGGATCTGTTTGGAGAGGGAATATTTGCAGTGGATGGAGAGAAGTGGAAGCAGCAGAGGAAGCTGGCTAGCTATGAATTCTCCACCAGGATTCTTAGGGATTTTAGCTGCTCAGTTTTCAGGAGAAACGCTGCTAAACTCGTTGGAGTTGTTTCCCAATTTGCCGCCATGGGTCGGCCCTTTGATATCCAGGTCAGCCAATTCCACCAAAAAAAAAATATATATATATATATATATATACACACACTTTTTTATATACATCAGGAAGTATGATGCAGGGAATATAATTTAGCAGTAATTTGATATCATTTTCCTTTAGATTGGAGGCTTAAACCACCATGCCTCGATAATATAATTCATCTGATATATAATACTAGATTTAAAATTAAAATAAAAAGCATAAATTACAAATTTATACCATTGAGACTAACAAAAAAAATATATACTTTGGTGACATTTTAGAAAAAAACAAAAAGGTAATAATATTTGGATTAAATACATATTTATTTTGTCATTGAGTATAGTTACTAAAAATTTGAAAGCTATTAATTTTTTTTAACAAAAAGATATCTTTAATCTTTGTCCTTCTGCATGTTTCTCCGAAAGTAGTTATTATGGATTTAATCAGTGTAACTTACATGTTTGATTTATAGTAATGTTTACTTAATTATTGTTTTTAATATAATATGTATCTAAGATTTTTTGGTTTCATGTTCTTATTATTCTTTTTAATTTTGTGTTTAATAGATCGTTGAAAATGTGACCGAAATTCTACGTTGATTGTATAAGGAAAATATTCAGTACAATATCATAACATTGTAATAATATGTGGGAGTTTATTGTCAATAACAAGTGATATCAAAATCCTATCATGTTGGTAAAATCCTCGGAATGCTGTTGTGAGTGACTAAATAGAGACATTCATATAAGTTCATAGACATATTTTAAAGCTTTTTAAAATTTACGAGAACATGAGTGAGGTTGCTAGTCTATCAACAATATATTAGTAACTTGCATTGTAGGTTTAAATCTCCCTCCATCTTTTGTTGTACTTACAAAAGACAAATAAGAGGAATATTGAACTTTCAACTTTAATGAATATAATAGTTGATGGGCGTCTTATTACGAAGTCTACATCAAACATCAAATTTCACAGGGGAGGGGTAAAAGTTTGTATCTAATATTATATTATGATATTTTATTTTTAAAAATTTAAATTATAAATATATAATTTTTTTTAGTACAATATGTAGGTGAAGATCGAATTAACCCCTCGATTGGAAATATATATCAATTGTCATTGAATCATGTTAGTTTTGACAATTTATATTATAAAATTAAGTATTAGAGCTCTGTTTTGCTTTTTTTATTCCCTAAAAATAGGATGGCATCACTCCTCGTAATGATGAAATAATATTTTTGTTTATATTCGTTAACAAATAGAAAATGAAAAAAAACATAAAAATAGAATTATATTACTTTATTTTTGTTTATATTTGTGACCCATAGAAAATGAAATTTTTTTTGTTATTTTTAAAATTTATATATATTATAAAATAACAAATTTAAATAGTTCTCATTCTTAGATTTCGCACCATCTTCAAATATATAAAAACCAGGAAACTTCAATTTAAAATGCCTCTTGCTTGCTACTTGTCAGGATTTGCTAATGCGGAGCGCTTTGGACTCCATTTTCAAAGTTGGATTCGGCGTGGAATTGAATTGCTTGGAGGAATCGAGCAAAGAAGGGATCGGATTCATGAAAGCCTTTGATGATTCTAGTGCTCAGATTTTTTGGCGCTATATCGATCCCCTCTGGAAATTGAAAAGATTTCTCAACATCGGTTCCGAAGGTTCGTTGAGGAACAACATCAAAACCATCGATGCTTTTGTGCACCAGTTGATCAGAGACAAGAGGAAATTGCTTCAGCAACCTAATCTCGTAAGCTTCATTCTTCACTGTCAATGTCTGTAAACATTATATTCTGTAACTTTATAGTGATCTTTTTGTTTTTTGTCAATGAAGTGATTGCGCAGTCCTTTATCTCTACTTGATTTTACTATTCTTATTAGAATAAAAGAGATTAGTTCTTTTGTCGAAAGATTGGATATGGATTTGTTGCGGTTAAATTTACTACTCGTTAGGTTCGAATTATGGTGATTTGATATATCATATGAGTTTTGTGATATGAATTTTAGGATCAGTAAATTTTACCCTGAAAGTAGTCCAGCTACGAGCAACTTGTCTCAAATACTCATAGTTTCAACGATAAACAACAAGTGTTTTTTATGATAAATGTTGTATTGTCAAACGATTATTTTGTAAAATTTATATGATACGTGGAAGGTGAAGAGACCACATACCCATAATCTTTTCATTCAACATTTTCTTAGTTGAATTTATATGTTGGTGGAGAAGAATGAATTGAAACAACCAATTAATTCAAAAGCCAAGTTGTGCTGACAAGTAGTTTAACTTTGGTTTTAAAACTACTCAAAGAAACAGAAACAAAGCACGTAGCTTATTTATTTTAACTTTTTGATTTTGTTAATTTTGTTGAATTTATCTGGCACTTGAAGAAGAATGACAAAGAGGACATACTTTGGAGGTTTCTGATGGAAAGTGAGAAGGATCCAACAAGAATGAATGATCAATATCTAAGAGATATAGTCCTCAATTTCATGTTGGCTGGCAAAGATTCAAGTGGAGGAACTCTGTCCTGGTTCTTCTACATGCTATGCAAGAACCCTTTAATACAGGAAAAAATTGCAGAGGAAGTGAAGCAAGTTGTTGGAATTGAAGGGGAAGAAGCTGACATAAATTTGTTCATAGAAAACTTAACTGATTCAGCTCTGGACAAAATGCATTATCTTCATGCAGCATTGACAGAGACTCTGAGGCTCTATCCTCCAGTCCCTGTGGTAAGTTTTCACAAAACTGACATTCTGGCTATGAATATGAGATTGGATGAAATTACTTTAAACTGTAGATTAAGTGTTATAAAGCAAGTTTAGGGACTGCTCAATTGATTTCTCAATGAATACTTGCAGATCATACCCGTATAGTTTGTGAACTTTGTGGAACCTGTAAGCCATGCCCTTCTGTTAATTAGGATCTTTAGTTTTTTATAGGATTCACTTTTCATTGATAACATCATAGAAGAACAAGTACATATCTAGGGATAAATTTGAGAGTTCGTGTACTCCTTAATATAGTAGTCCATTGATTTCATGGTAGAATTGTGTCCACATGACCCAAGTTGAATAGGAGCGTGTTGATTTCTTTTAAGATAGCGGTATAATTTAATGAATTGTATGATCATCATATGGACGTTTTAAACCATATTTGAAATATGATTATGTGGTTTGCATATTTCACAAAAGGCTAATTATATGGTTAGTTCGTAACATTTGTGTGATTTCTCAATTTAGTCCTTGATACTTCACATTTTTCAATTATACCTTCATTGTTGGTGAATGTTAAAATTAACTTATAATAAGCTTACTCAAGATGATACTTAGTGACTTGACTATAATGTAAAGAAGAAATCAGGTCATCCAAAAAACAAAAAGTCAAAATTCTCATACAACTTTGAAATTTAGGGAAAAGTTAGAAACTTTTTTTTCTCTTAGATGACCTAATTTATCTTCCAAATTTCTTCGAACTCACTGAGTATCTTGTCATGCAAGCTTTCATCAACCAATTTTAATATCTACCCACGAAAATGGTACAATTGAAAAATATTAAAATATCAGCCATTAGGAACTGAATTGAAAAAACAACTAAACGTTTAGAGGCTAAAACACATATTTAGCGTTTGTAATTGTTCTTAAATTTATTGTTATCAAAGAAGCACCTAAACAAAAATTAGTGTTAAATTGTGAAGGATGGAAGGACAGCAGAAATAGATGACATTCTTCCTGATGGCTATAAACTAAGAAAAGGGGATGGAGTATACTACCTGGCCTATTCCATGGGAAGGATGCCCTGCCTCTGGGGAGAAGATGCTGAAGATTTTAAACCTGAAAGATGGCTTGAAAATGGAACTTTTCGGCCCGAATCGCCATTCAAATTCATCGCATTTCATGTCAGTATTGATTTTGTTTCAATCATATTATGATCATGATGAAACTTTTTACATGTTTTTACCGAGTTTCTTGATTTCAGGCGGGTCCTCGAATGTGTTTGGGAAAGGAATTTGCTTATAGACAAATGAAGATAGTGTCTGCTTCTCTGCTTCAATTTTTTAGATTCAAATTAGGTGATGCAACGAGGAATGTGACTTATAGGATCATGCTTACCCTTCACATTGATGGAGGTCTCCCTCTTCTTGCACTTCCCAGAAAGACCAAATTTGCCTAATGTTTGTTCTAGTGTTAGAATAATATGATATCATGTAAAAAGATAGTCTTCTTTTTTCTTTTTTTCTTTATTTCAATAATCGCCCGTGGGTTTCAAACCGTCAACCTTTAAGATGGTAACATGTATTTTATCCACTTGTTCAAATGGCAAAAATATTAGTCTTGTAATTGAGATTTACTTGTATATATGTATATGATTTGCCATAGACTGTCGTAGCAATTAAACTAGTTAAATTAAACTCTCTTCAATGGCCTTTTCGATTTAAATACTATTTTAATCCTCTGATTTTAATCTGTATACTTCTACTTTTCGTTAATTTTAGTCATTCTACTTTTAAAATGTCTATTTTGATATTTATCCTTTAAAAAGTGACATATTTGGTCTCTATTTGCAAAATTTTAATACAAATTTTTATACACAATAAATATTATTCAATACAAATTTATTGCTGCATTTTAATAGATTTAATAATTTAAATGCCATGCTAAAATTTTTATAGCAAGTGATGAGATAAAAATGAAAATGTCGAGACTAAAATGATCAATTTTAGAAAATACAACTGTATGTATAATAGGGATAGAGGATTCAAACTTATAGTCTTTTGATCAAAAATTTTATTGGTACTAATTATCGTGGAGCTAAGTTCTGAGTCAGTTGTTGAAAATTGAAATTTATTAGAAAAGTTGACTCCGATCGGATAGGGAAATAAATAAAACAATACAAAATAATAATAAATGACGGAAATGGTCAATGAAACGGTGCGTTTAGGATTCGACATGATTCAAGAAATTCAAATTCGTTCCGTTCGAATTTCCATCCAACGTCCCCAATTCCCTCGCTATCCTCCGCAGTCCACCCCCACATTTCTCGCTATCGGAGTTCTCCGGCGGCGAACCGATGAAATCTCAGGCGAAGGACGACAATGAAACTCCTATGCGGCAATGGTCCTTGCAAGATTTCGACGTAGGAAAGCCCCTCGGCAAAGGAAAGTTCGGCAGAGTCTATCTAGCAAGAGAAGTCAAGGTTCGTTTTCCTTCCGTTTCATTTTATGTTTGATTCTTATTGAAATATTCTACAATTTTGCATCACGCCGGATTCTTAGACCTCAGGTTCTTTGTTTTTGTATGATTCGTTTTTTGTTTGAGTGTATTTTGTTTTTGTCTACTCAATAGCTTCTAAATCTGAAAGGAATTTCGTCATTTTGAGGTTGCATGTGAATTATCCGATGGATAGATTTGTTATGAATTCGTACTTTCTCTTCTTCTTTCCCGTAAATAAAGCAGAGAGTACTAAGTCTCCTTTTCTGGAAATTATCGTAGCTACATAATGCCATCACTTTCTCAATGACCGAACGGAGTGATTCAAATTAATATTTCTTTGTATCGAATAGCGATCGTACGATTTCTCATATATACGCAACTTATAGTATTTCCAGTCCATTTTTCATTGAAATTGAGCACGAAAATCCTTTGCATTTCTCTGATTCCGATCATAAGATTGTACATCTGGATTTTGGTTTCACCTTAGGAGCTTCAATTTAATTTTTCAGAGCAAGTATATAGTGGCACTGAAGGTGATTTTCAAGGAGCAGATGGAGAAGTACAGGATTCATCATCAATTAAGGAGAGAGATGGAGATACAGACCAGTCTTCGGCACCCGAACATCCTGCGTCTCTATGGATGGTTTCATGATGCTGAACGGATTTTCTTGATATTGGAATACGCTCACCGCGGTGAGCTTTATAGGGAGCTTAGGAAAAGTGGTCATCTCAGCGAGAAGCAAGCTGCCACTGTAATTTTTCTCTCTCTATCCTTATGAATTTATATATTTTTCTCTCTATCCTTATGAATTTATTTACTTTGGACTGAAGATAACGAAGAAGTAAAGGATACAATAATATTGAGCCAGAAACAAAACTGTAGGAACTCATCTCATGAACTTCAGAATTTTCCATATTCTACTTTTCACTTTATAACTTCATATTGGACTGAGATACAGGAAACGATAATCTTGCCATTTAAATTTAGCCCTTATATATCGCTATCTAAAGGTTCTTTTATGTTGGTTTCTTGTGAATTTCAGTACATTTTAAGCCTCACCCAAGCATTGGCATACTGCCATGAGAAGCATGTGATTCACAGGGACATTAAGCCAGAAAATTTGCTTCTTGATCATGAGGTATATATTTTCCTCTTTTTGTTATTCAGCAGCTTAGAAAATGTCGGCGTTTAATTTCGTAATACCTTAGTGTTGATGGGATTAATTCTCATATTCGTTCTGGTAAATCAATGAGAAGCTCAGCCTTTCAGCCAACGGCCATCTCTCCTCTGGCTTTGTTGTTAAGCTGATTAGTTAGAGCTATAACTAATTGGTGGAGACTTAACATTGAACCGTAGCTTYTAAACGTGTGTAGCTCTCTTTGTATCCTCTGTAAGTTCGGATCGAAAGGTGTGGGAACTTCTTGATCAGCCCCCATGTCGCCACATGGGATGGACATAGAGACGTAAAAAGGGGATCCTATCAACTTGTTCTGAATTCCTTGAGCAATAAGAACTTTCTCTCTGATTTGAAAGTAGACGTAGAGCTTTGGTTGAACAGCTATAATCTGTTTGTCCATTCTATACTTGATTCTATTGATCTTTAACTCCTTTCTTGAATTTAAAACTGAATGTTTTTGGCAACTCTGCTGGTTTTGGAATAAACTTCCAATTGATTCAACACTTAGTAAACCCGTTCTTTGATCCTTGAAGTAGAACTAGAATTCCACTGCAGTTTGTAGAAGAAACAAGTCTATACTATTTATCTATTTTTCCTTTTGTGTAACCATATTTTATTTGTAGGGCCGATTGAAAATTGCAGATTTTGGATGGTCTGTACAGTCAAGAAGCAAAAGACGTACCATGTGTGGAACCCTGGATTATTTAGCCCCAGAAATGGTGGAGAATAAAGCTCACGATCATGCTGTAGATAACTGGACTCTGGGTATCCTTTGCTATGAGTTCCTTTATGGTGTGCCTCCATTCGAAGCCGAAAGTCAAAGTGACACATTTAAAAGGTTAGAAACATAACTTACGAAACAATTCAACTAGATCCTTATCCTCCACGAAGAGTCGCTACTAATTTGGTCCCTGCACTTTTATTGAAGTAACTGCTTAGTCGCTAAATTTTAGTTTATAACAGTTTAATCTATGCGCTTTCAAATCGGTAACAATTTGGCTCATAAACTTTACTACGTAACAATTTAGTCCTTGTATTTTAAAATTTATACCAATTTAGTCCCTTGTCGAAAAAAATCTCATCAAAATTAAGTGTGATTTTTATCATATAATAATTATCTTTGTAATGTATAAACATATTTAGGCCCTTATCAGTTTATAAGAAAAATTATTAAATCTTAACGAAGATTTTCACAATATAGACTAAATTGTTACAAACTTTAAACTACAAAGGCTAAATTGTTACATACTAAAGTTCAAGGATTAAATTAAAAGTATAGAAGTTAAATCGTTACTTCAACGGGAGTAAAGGACCAATAGTGTTTTTTAACCCACTTTCTTTCTTAGGTTATATATTATAAATAATCGAATCCCACTAATATTTTTAAGTCAATAGAAAGAAGTTCCTACCAGGCTATTTCTTTTTCTTAATTAACGACAACATAATCGAGATACTAAATGGTTGTTCGGGTCAAATGCAGGATAATGAAGGTGGACTTGAATTTTCCCTTGACCCCTCAGGTTTCCCCAGAAGCAAGAGATCTCATTGGCCGGGTTAGTTAAATTGTGACATTTTGTTTGGTTTTTTCTTTTTTTTTTCTTTTCTGTTTTGATAAGTGGGAGTCGGAGCTTTTTGCTCCTAGGAGTACCACGCTCACTCTGGAATTGTGTTTGGTAGTTTTAGGAATAATATGGATTTTTTTTTTTTGATTCTGAATATGTGAAATTTTTACTCAGCTCTTAGTGAAGGATTCCTCTAGAAGACTTTCACTAGAGAAGATAGTGGAGCACCCTTGGATAATCAAGAATGCAGATCCATCTGGTATTTGCAATAGGTAGAAACATCACTTCGTTTTTTAACTAATTGATCTTGATCATGCCTCCTCTCATTTAAATAGAGTTTGATTAAGATCTGTGTAATTTCCCAGTGTTGTAGCATTATTGATGATTTAACCATAATCTCGAAAAAAAAATGTCGCTAGTAGCTTTACTAGTAGTATTATAGGCTCTCATTCCTTGAGGCTATATGTTCTAATTCTCATTCTTTTCGATGTGACTACGTTTGAAATAGTTTTTTAAAATGTGTGTATTCAGGCATCTTGAGAGATCGAATAATCGATGTTAGTCAATGTCACTCGATCCACTCGAAAATAGATTGAGAACAAAATGGCACATTCGTAATGGGATGAAGTGAATGAAGAAAGAAAAAAAAGAAAAGGTGAACGGCATAAAAAAAATTGATTTGTACAGGAAAATGAGTGTTTATTATGTTCCAATCCAAAACAATACATGAAGAAAATTTTTGTAATGAGTAGCCTTTTTAATTTTAAATTAACCATACAACTTTTTTAGTAGTTTAAAATCATGATCAATTTGAATTAATATCACTTTTAATTTTTTTTTCCTAGAAGATTTGAATTAATATCATTTACTCATCCAGATTCTTTTTGATGTAGAATTATATAATTATAAGTTTGGAGATTTAAATCTTAGTAATTATACACCGTTAAATTGTATTCAAATTAAATTAATCAAATTGATTATTCTCGATTTTATACTATAATTATTCTCAAACATTCAAATTAAATTAATCAACCTGATTTTTCTCAATTTTATACTATAATTATTCTCAATTTTATATTATGATTATTCTCACATTAATGGTTAACAAGTATGTTAAATATGAATTTATAGTGCCAACATAAACTTAGTTCAACTGTTTTTCACTAAAAGGTCATGAGTTTGAATCTTCTCTTTCCATTTATTAAACTAAAATATATATGTATATATATATATGTATATATGAATTAGTATTACTATGCATTTGTAAAAAAAAATTACCCAAGGATCAATTATCCACCCCATGTCGCACTGAAAATGAGTGTATTTAGGGAACATAGTCAAATATAGAGAGACATGCACATATTGTTCATTAACCAAAATCACTTGAAGATCCGATTACTCGATTAGAGTCCATATATCAGTATAGAAAACTTACCTTTTATTGATATGCAATCAGAGAGAAAAATGCACCTTTTTTAAAGAACTCCACGCCCTCAGCCGATGAATCAGAATGAACTGAAGAGTTGCTTTACAAAATTGGCGCACATTTGTTAACTATCCAAAGATCAAAACACATATATAAACCCATATCCAAACTTCTCTTTTTCACTTTTCAGTGAGGTTTTAGAGATCACAAAACAGGGACTTGCTGGACGTTACTCAAAAGCTTTACATCTAAACATAATTACAAGAAAATTACTATTCCGTGTAGCTCTAACCATTACTCTTGTCTCCCAAGACAAGATATTCTCTTGTCTGATTGCCCAAAATGGTAGGAACTAAAATAAAACAGCAGATATAGAAGAATTCCAGGGCCAAGGGGTTCTGATTCGTACCTTCTTCTCAAGGAGAAATGCTTTCGTAGGCAGTGATCGTGGTATCGCTAATGGTGGTCTCGCTGCTACTGCTGACATTGCTCCTTTCTTCGTCGTGTCTCCGTTTATCGCCTGCCTGGATCGACATTGAGAGATTTGTGTTTGGGGTTGCAGGGTCGGGTTTTGTGAGCAGCATTGTTGCTGAAGGTAGCAGAGTGCCAGTGGTAGCAGCAGAAAGCGAAAGAACGGTTTCGTTTTGGGCGACTTTTGAATGCTTCTTTGAACCCCTGTGCATGTGCAGTCCACAATATTTCTGATTTGGAATAACGTTTCTTCGGCATCGCCATTTCTTCCCATCCGTTCTTCTACACCTTCCTGGTTCAAGTTCAAGGTTGATTTTACTGTCACAGTACGAGCTGCTGCAACCTGGAACTGAAAAAAGAAATGACAGAATAATTTAAAACTTCATTTTCTAAATAAACCCGCAATTATTGAGTCCATTACTTGATTAAGAGGCAGTAGGGGATTTAGAACAGACAAAAACAATAGCTATAAAAGTTAACAGAATAAGAGATCCGTAAATTTTTTACTCCATAAATTATAAAGATTTTACTAACAAGTAAAATCATAAAAATTGGAATATGTGTCTCTTAAGAAATTAAATTTCTCCATTTGATGGTCCCAAGGGAAGTGCAGTAAATTCTGTGTAAGAACAACAGTGCAGTAAATCCTGTGTATAAAAACAAGGCATGGAGTTATTCAAAACCAATAATTAAAAAAAAAAAAATCCTGTGTATAAAAACAAGGCATGCGTTATTCAAAACCAATAAATTGTTTGAAGTCACTTTCAGAGATCAGACGACATTTACACCTAGAAGATCACAAGTGTGAAAGCTTCTCTCAAGCTGTAACAAATGAAAACAGGTTAAAATGTAAAGGTACCAAAAAAAAAACCCCCGTTTATAGAGGATTAACTTTTGACACAAAAGTGATACATGGAGAGTAAGGTTTGAAAATGGAAGACATAAGAAAATACATTTTTTTGCATTTAGGAATTATAACCTAGGCATTAATTAGGAGAGACGAAAGTTAACACTTCTTTTTCCTTTTGGGTGGGGGGAACAAAAGCAAGCTAAACTTACAATAAGGAATGGACAGTCACAAAAGAGCAAAAACAAGAGAAGATGTACATGGAAAAGGGGAAGACTATAGCCCACATAACGGGCAGCTTCTATCCAAATCATTGATGCAAAAATATCATCAAAGACGGGTTGCATAGTTTATGACATGAACAAATAATCAAGTTTTAAATTGTTGGATAAACAGATAGCCATCTAAAAAATATCTCAATAAAACAAAAATAACCACTTTGCAGCACTCAAAAGGATTTATTTACGAGATGATTGATACCTTGAAGAACACTGTTAGGAGAGAACCCTAAACTTGGAGGTGGGATCTTCTGGACATTGGTATCACTTCGGCCAAAGATGTTACGGCTCCTGCTGAAATTCTCACGACAACTAATGTTGTAGACATCTTTCGACTCAATCATGTAACTAGTGGGAATGCTGGTGACGGCAGTTGGATTAGAGCAAGGAACTGCTGTAATATGTGTAGCAATGGTGTTGGGAGCACTTGCAGGGACCATTCTGATGGTTCTGGTTGCATCAGCACAGCTGGTAAGAATGGCTGTTGCTGCATGCGTGCTACTGGTAATGGTTTCCGCAACTGTTTCGGGACCGGGGACTACGGATTCGATGGGGGGAAAGGTGTTCTTGGTTTTGTTATTCCCACAAATGGTAGAGGCAGGAGCAACAACCGTGCATCTTACGACTTCGTCTGGATTATTGAGTAGAATTCTCTTTGAAGGAGAGTCGTTTTCAGAAGCTTCCACAGGCTTTCTTGAACGCTGTCGGCCTCTATGCATATGCCGTTCACAGTATTTCTGATGTGGAACAGTATTCCGGCTACATCTCCATTTCTTCCCATCAGTTCTTCTACATCTCCCTGGTTCGGGATCCATCATACTCCTGTAGTCAATTCCCAGATGACTGAATCCTATAACTGCAAACAATTAATAAAGAGAAGCCAAATTTACAAGAAAATATGCAAAATCCCACTCATTTGACACTTATCCATATTTTAGAAATGGGAGAGAATCATTAGGTTATAAAAATGAAATTCTTCTGAAACAACAGAACCCATCAAAAGTTTCAAATTCTGTCATGAGGAAGAAGGGTGAATGAACAGCCATGTTGAATCCTCAAAACACAACTGTCCAACAAGATGCCCATTCGACTCAATATCTATTGTCTTGCCACTTCACATTAATTAATCCGTGAATAATTTGGAAGGTAATCGAGTATGTCCTTAGATGGTATCATATTCAAATAAGGATTCATCGTTTTGTCTACACAGATGCTGCAAAAGCAATATAGAGTCCAAATTTTGGACGTATGTTGTGCTATAATCTTAAAAAAAAAAAAAAAAGTATAACAATAATAATAATAATAAAAAGAAAGAACATGTTATCTCTTTCCAATCAGACACGCCCTAAAGTATAAACATGAACACAAAAATACAAAGAGTACTGCATTTCCTTGTAATAGTCCAACAATGAATCACGAAAGGAATGGTTGTCCCCATAAGGTGCCAAAATAATTAATATACACCCGGAAGGCATTGGCAAAAGGACAATGCACAAAAAAGGTGATTAAGGCCTTAATACAAACACAGTTCAATCAACGCAATCCAATTGAATAAGCATGTAATATTTTCACTTAATAAAAAGAATTTTACTGCTGTTCATTTTCGTCCCTGAATCCTGTTAACATCTGTGAAAATAATAGTTCTTACCTAATCAACAGTTTTTAGATATGATCCTTGCATTAGTTAATATATCATTAGTGATGAACAAATAATTGACATAAATAATAGAATAGCTGCATTAGCTAGAATTACCGAAAACCAAGATTTCCGGATGAAATTTTATTCAGACAGCGCCTTAAAATATCCATTTCTGACGGCTTTTATCCAATATGATATCATCTAATCTGACGATTCTTTACAAATTCAAAGCAACTGAATCAGACCACTAGTTTGAACTGAAATAGACGCTGAAACTGGCACTAATATCTTCAATTAACAAATCAGCAAGAAAATTGAAATATATTAGGTATGTTGAAATATTAAACTCGCTTACGGCTACGATAACGCTCGTACATACCATTGATATTAGAGCCTAAGTTCCTGACGACGCTCTTCCAAATCGGAATGAGAAGGTGCGTAGGAACACGGAGACCAGCAACCAGATGCTTGTGAATGAGAACCTGCTGTTGAAGCTCGTGCAATTGGCCAACTGTAAGAAGAGACTCCGTCCGCCGGTGAACAATCGAGGTTCTCTCGCTTTGATTTCCCGCCGAATTGGTGCCAATCTGTAGACCGAGATTAATCGGCGCTGATAGCTCGTCGTTTTCCGGCCACCTGCTTTCCATTTTCACCTCCATCGTCGTCACGGTCATCGCCGCCTCGCCGGCCTTCAGCGGCGTTGCTACTCTCACTACCGATTCACAACGAGTAAAAATACAGTTCGTAAGAAAGCGTAAAACAAAAAGAATACAAAACCAAAGAAGTTGAGTAGTGAATGTAAAGAGCAAAAGAAAGAACCAGTTTCTGAAGAATAAATGCTCTGAAGTGGATGAACTTCCATAGGAGGAGATGAGAAGCATGAGCTCGAATCTCAATGCAGCGCAGGATTTGAATTAACCGCAGCGAAGAATGAAGATCGATCGACAAACAAATTTGAATCAGAATTCAGAATTCAGAATTCAGAATTCAGATTAGGCCAAAAACCAGAGAGAGAGAGGGGTGGAGTTAAAGCAAGTGACAGAGTTTTTCTGACAAATTTCAGCCTTTTTTTTTTCTTTTTTCCGCACTGGTCTGCCTCCGAAATTTCCATCACAAGGTTCGCGCGTTCTGAAAGCGCGTGGGAGCACGATTCGACTGCTGCAACTGCCAGTTTTTGCTTTTTGCAGGACTAGTGGTGTCAGTCACGCGCTCATGTCGTGGTTGCTTACGTGGCGCTACATATAGGGGACACGTCATTCGTCGAGTTATCTAATCACTCAGTGTGGGTCCTGCTCTTCCTTCTGCTATAATTCTTGTCTCTTCCTCACTTTCTGAGTTTTTTTTTTATCGGGATTTTCGAAAATATCAAAACAATTTGAATTTGGGTCGTTTTCTTCCTGATTTTAAATTATGTCAAATTTCTTCTTCTTTTTTTTTCCCAATAATCAATTTAAATTTAAACTTAAAAAAAAAAGGTGGTAACAATAATCAATTTAAAATTTTGGTGCTCTTTTTTAAATACAATATATTGTTCTTTTTATTGTTGAATGAAATAAACTTTTTAGATTTTGATAATAATTTAAATTTTAAGACTAAATTAGCTTACGACTGAGACATCTTAGTAATGAGATTTAAGCTTTACAACAACAATGTAAATTATTGTACTATACTATCTTTAATTATATGACATCTCTTATATTTTATTCATTTATCTAATTCGACATAAACACAAATTTCAAAGTAGTTGTAGTAAATCATATATTAAATTTCTAAATCAATGCCAACCACTATAAAAAAGTACGTAGAATTTATGAATCGTATTATAATCTTTAAAGACGAGATAAAGTATTTGAAAAATAAAAACATTTGATTAACTAAACATTAATGTATAATATATTATGCAAGTTTTTATTTACCTTATCAAGATCATAGTGTTTTTTTTATTACCGTATCTAAAATAATGAAAATTATGACACCTACATTTTCATTAAAATTGAAAAAAAAAAAGGGAAAAAAATCTCACTTATATGAGACGTACCCTAAACAACAAACAAAAAATAAAAATAAAAATAAAAAATAGTTCAGCGAATATGATGGTTGAACATTTGATGTTATGGTATATTAAAAAAAAACATTTGATGTTATGAAAGATCTGCCCGCTATAATGATATTAATATTTTGAAATTTTATATGCAATAATATTTAAAATACTCTTTTAGTAAATATCTCATTGCTCGCATTAAAAATCATGCTCGATAAATAATTATTTAATAATGTTCTACTTCACATGGTTCTTGTCTTATATGATATAACCTGATTAACTCTTAATATGAGTAGCACCCATATGATGCTATCATATTATAATTAAAAAATTTCAATTTAAATCTCTCTACTTATGTGTTGCAAACTTTAGAGGAAATAAGACAGTTATCAATACAATGATACCAAATATGTCTAAGTGGATTAAAATAATAATAAATAAAAGGTATTGCAACTTAAGATTTATAGGTTAAAATCTAGAAGGTCAAAATGCATTTAAAAAAGTACTCAAATAGTACCATCCATAAGAATAATTTTGGGAATGTTGCTTTAAAACACTTATATATTTTGTCAATAAAGATATACGAGCAAGTGATGTGTCGAGTGCTGAGCGTAACGGTGAGGCATGCGTGTGTGTACGGACGTATCCCCACTAGAGTTATATGGAAAGAATGTCGAAGGGCATAGCCCGCGACTTGCTACTAGAGGGGGGCAGATTGACGTGCCACTTGTCAATTTTCGGGGATGTCTGCCTTCACCCATCACGTACAACCCGACACATCCCTACACATCCCTGTGTCAAAATTGTCGCCCTTCTCGTCAATCACTTGCGCCTATAAAAAGTAAGGATCCATCACTACCAAGTAAGTGAAAAATAAGTCACTAAATTCTTAAAGTGTATACTCCTATTATTTTACTCCAATTACTAACTTAATCGTCGTAGTGTATTAGACAAGACGTCGCATCGACGTGGAGCTTTATGATTGTAGGTTCATTTGCTCCACACAGTTCCGAGAGACATGTGGCCTCGTCTAAACTCGTAATCTAACATATTTTATTAAAATATATTAAAATAACACTACATACACATATATAACCATATTGCAACAAGTGCATCCCCACTTTATTAACAAAGTTAAAAAGACGTGACCATCCAAAATACCAATTTAGAATCAAAAGATGCACTTAATCTTTTAATATTTAAATGGTTTAAACCGTATTTTGGTTGGATTTTTATATTTATTTTAGTCTCTAAAATTTTAAGAGAGAACCATTTTATTCTAAAACTTTGAAATAATTGCAATTTTCCTATTCGTCTAAAATTAACTCACCCAATACTTAGTCTAACATACTTTGTAATTGTCTGTGTCAACATGTTAATATATTTTTTTAAAGTCACGCTATTAATTTATCAAAATTAATTTAAATAGATTTTGTGTTAAAGTCGATAAAAAGATTATGTTAATATACTTATTTGAAGTCACGTTATTAATTGGTCAAAATCAGTTTAAATAGATTTTTCTTTAAAGCAGATAATAAGATAAAATAGAATAATGTCGAAAGTTTTTGAAACAAAATCAAATGAGATTTAAACCTATTTAAATTTAGAGACAAGTATAAGTGTATAACCACTAAAAATTGAAGAGCAATTTTGTAATTTCTCTTTAATATCCCAATTCCTCGAGGAGCTCGGCAGGCCGCCATGGAGACCAATTCCGCCGCCGTGGTCGTTAGCAATACCCCAAGCATCTCGCCGGAGAAACGCAACCGTTCAATCTTCGACGTCCCGCCGGACTTCTTCGACGCCTGTAAACTCCTTCGTTCTCCATACTCATACACCTCATCAACCGGCGGCAGCTACAGGAACAGCTCAAGCGCAGAAAACCCAGTCGATTCGGAGAATAACTCGAGCGATTTCAAAGAAAGTTCCGTCGCCCACAGATGGACCTGCAACACGTGCAAGGCCCAGTTCGAATCCCTCCTCGACCAGCGTTCGCACTTCAAATCCGACCTTCACCGGTTCAATGTAACTTGGCTGATTCTGTTACCTGCTATCTGGATTGCAGTTTATAGTTTTATTTTTATTTTTTCCAATTCAACTAGTTAATTGAGTAGGGTTTATTGTGGATTGGACTATCATGTCGGGAAACGAAGCATAGTCGTCGTTTTCTTTTCTTGTTCTGGAACGAAAATGCTCTTTATGTTTGATGCATTGTCAATCTGATGATTTGATTAATTATAATTTTGTTGTCCTTACTTTCTCGTGGTGAGACGCAGCGTCCATTGTTTTTTTCTTGTTCTCCATGTAACTAACGGGATGAATGATGTGTGTCTAACAACCATTTTATCTTGAAATTTAGTAAGCAATTAAAGATGGAATTATCTGTTGACATGATTTGATGAAGTGAATGATTTATTATTTTATGTGTTTTCTAAGTATTTACCGGGCTATAACTAAATATTAGGTGAAACTAAGCATTGCTGGAAAGAATATTGTGAAGGAGGATGATTTTGATGAGCTGACATCTGATTCTTTCAGAGACTTTGATGTGTCAAGTATTTCTGGATCAGAGGATGAAACAGAGAAGGAGGTTCACTCTCGGAATGAAGGGTCCAAGGGAACAAGCGACAATGTCAATAAGAAGAGGTTGTTTGTTCATCTTCGAACAGGCGAAAGAGTTTCGGTTTGGAAGTGTTTACTCATAAATGAGTCAGATAATGTTTCATATGAAGATGATAAAACATCTATCAGTAGTAGTGCCGTTTATGCACATTACCTTAGAGAGAATGAAGTCATAGCAAGATTGAAAAGTCTAAATCTTGAGCCAAGAGATGGCACCCGTTTGCGGATAGTATTGCTTGCAAGCGGTGGGCACTTCGCCGGTTGTGTTTTCGATGGGAACTCGGTTGTAGCCCATAAAACCTTTCACAGGTTGAAAATCTCTCCCCTCTCTCTCATTACTATTCGAAGGCCCTTCCAACAATTTCCAGTCCATTTTTACATTTTGGAGTTATTAGTTAACGATGAAAACAAACTATGGAGCATGTGGATGCATATAAAGTGGAACATATAATAAAACTGAATTTCTTATTCGGACTCTGGTACCTGAAATAAGTAACGCAATTATTATAAAAAGAAACAGTTACTTTGTGAATTTGCATTTTCTCTTGTATAGAAATCTTCGATTTGGTTTTTGTGCTTCTTGTCGTACTTTCCTTACATGAGATCCAAACTTCTTATTATGCAGATATGTGGTGAGAGCCAAGTCTGGAAAGAAGCAATCATCAAAAGATGCTAGTGGCAAGACAATCAGTTCTGCTGGGGCTTCACTTCGTCGTCATAATGAACTGGCATTGAAGAAGGTTTGATATAGTTTATTGATGACTACAAAATGGCTTGACTCGTTCATTCCTCCTTTTATTTTTAGTTTAATATACTTTTCGCACCCATGAATTCCTATGATTTCATGATTGTATTCAACTACTTGATGCAAACAGTCTATCTTTTCTAGTCAGGTAGGCAAAGGGGCTGTTTGGGAAATGGTTTTGAAAATAGTTTTATATTTTTGTTTCAAAATTGTTTTTGAAAATTATGATTGAGTAACTCATAAACGATAATGTCCCCGATTAACCTAATCTTGTATTTCTATATTTACCTATTTCTTTGATACCATGCCTGTGGCCGGATCAAGTTTTGTCCAAATTAGTTACTGTACTGTAAATGTTGATTGGCTTACATATTGAATGCTTTTAGGAAATTCAAGATCTCCTTGCTGCTTGGAAGTCCTATTTTAACGCTTCATCTTGCGTCTATATTTATGCTCCTTCAAACAATCGGCAATTGCTTTTTAATGGGGAAAAGCCATATTTTAGTGATCAGCACTCTGCTATTCGGAACATTCCGTTGACTGTTAGAAGGCCTACTTTGAAAGAAGCCCGGCGTGTTTATGAACAATTGGTACAAGTAGTTCATGAAGTAGATGAAAAGGAAATATCATCTACCAGTGAGCACAATTCACCGTTGAGTGCAGTTACAACAGACAATTGCATCCAAGATGTAAGCAAAGAGAAAGTCATTGGAGATTTGGAAAAGGATGCTCGTACGCATACCGTAGAATCTGTTGAATGCGCCATAACTAGTGAGAGTGAAAGTGAAGTTATTTGTAGAACTACCCCTTTGCATGAAGCATCAGAGTCTGGAAATGCAGATAAGGTTTTGGAACTCCTTGAACAGGGTCTTGATCCTTGCATCAAAGACGAAAGAGGACGTACGCCGTACATGTTGGCAAGTGAGAAGGAAGTCCGGAATAACTTCAGAAGGTTCATGGCTTCAAACCTTGATAAATGGGATTGGAATGCTGCTAAGGTGCCCAGTGCATTAACTAAGGAAATGGAAGAATCTCAAGCTGCTAAGCAGGTCACTTAAAATTTTATTTTTTTCTTGTGCTTTTGCCTCTCTTATTTTGATTACCTCAAGAAGTCCTCTCGTGGTGTCGAAATAGATTGGTTTCACTTTGTTATCATATTAACGTTGCAATGGTGGAAACTTGGAAAGATTTCATGCTTCAGTGACTAACTACCCTTCAAAATAAATACGCAGATTTTGGGGGTTTGAAGTCATTTGTCACTGAAAACATGCAAAACATGAACCAATGTTTCACTTTTCATACATTTCTGAAAGCTATATAACCTTTCCTCTAACGTTTTAGACCTTTGTTTGTTGACTTGGAATTTTTGTTCCGTTTTTCTTTGACATGAACGAATGTTTCACATTTTTGTGGTTGTTTAGGCAGAAAAAGAGGCCAAGCGAAAAGCAAGAGCAAAGGAATTGAAGAAATTAAAGAAGGAAAAAGCCAAGAAAGCACAGGTTCGCGTTTGTTTGGTTTTATTCTAAAGTTTTCTCCAAACTGGTTCACACCCTAGTCTATGCTCCCTTCTCGGTTTAATGGGCACATCGACATCAAGTTTTCCACAACTTCTTTAGGATAGCTCTAGATTTTTTAGGTTTGGTTTGATAACTATTTTGTTTTTCTGAGAATCATGCTTAGTTGCTCAAAATTTCTTTGATATGTTTTCGCATTTCTTAAAACACTCTTAGCTAAATTTAAAAAATAAAAACGTTTTTTTTTTTGGTTGTCAAAAATAGCTTAGATTTTAAAAACGTTTCTAACATATAGAAACTAAAACAAATAAATATATGCGCGAAAGTAGTGTTTGTAAGCTTGGTTTTCAAAAATAGAAAACCTGTTATTAAAGAAGCCTTTTGTGTTCGAAAGCTCCCACTACTTGCATTACACTCACTCATATCCCACACTTCACTAATTCTCGAAGATGCTTTGCCAACCTCAAGGATAGCTCCCATAGACAACAAGGGTTTTAAGTCTTCAACTTAGCGCTTGAACCTGAAAGCTCGGAGAGTATCTCCAAACATTTAAGCCTTGCCACTGGGGCACCCCTTGGGACATTGTTCCAAAGCTCGTAGTCCTTCAATGATTAGTAGTCCTTCAATGATTATCGTCTTTGAGATCGCCTCGAGGATTATGAATAATGTTCAACCAGTCATTATAGTTTCCCCCTGTCTTCTTATTCTTTCCTCCCTTTAAAGATGTGCGTAATGTATGAATTGGCAGGCACAAGCAGCTGAATCTCAAAAAGCTGTGAAGGTGGAGCAGAGCAGAGCTATCGGCTCTGTTTCGAATAATCGGGCTGAATCAACAAGTGGGAAACAGATTACTCAAGAGGTATCCGTATCTCTCACCCATCAAGCTGTTTAAATAGACAAAGGGGGCTGTCTTACATGTTTGTGAAAATTATATTTAAGAATTCATCATAGAACCATGGTCCTTTGTTTCACACTTCGGCCGCGAGAACCGTGGTCTTTTTCGATTATTTAGCAGCAATACCTTCTCTTATTCCTTCTCTCCCTTGTAACAAACTACAGATGGGACAGGCTGCTGAACGGGAAAAGAGAGCAGCAGCTGCTGAGAGGAGAATCGCCGCAGCCGCAGCCACCGATGTTTCCTCATCGACTACTCCGAACAGCTCGCAGACTAAATCCGGGGAGGCGGGGGATGTCAACTGTTCCTGTTGCAGTACGTCACTGGCTGGTAAAGTTCCTTTCCACAGATACAACTACAAATATTGCAGCTCAACATGCATGCATGTACACAGAGAGGTTCTTGAAGGAAACTAGCAAGGATTGTATCACAAATCTTATGCTTCCTCGTCATCTGAAATTTTTAGAGAGTAGTTTTAACTTATTTGGAGGCTCGGTAATATCTGCTCTCTTTTTGGGATTCTTGTACTTGTCTCGTTGTTGATGATAAGATTATAGCTTCAAATGTAGATTTTGACACATTGAATATATAAATTTTTTACCGGTACTCATTATGGGTTGGTCTAGTAGTCAATAAAGGCCAATGTAAATAGTAAAGATAGAAGGGATGAGTTCAAACTATGGTGGTTACCTACCTATGATTTAATATCGTATGAATTTATTTGACAACAAAATGTAGTAGGATTAGACGGTTGTCTTGTGATTGGTCAAATACTTGCAAATTGGCTCAGAGATATGATAAAAGGGTACTTTTTGAGATGACGAGTCCTGCATGCTGAAACGTAAATGAGAAACTGCTGAAAACTTGAAAAGGACTCTAGATATCGTAAAACAGTGATAATTAACATAAAATCTTACAACAATAAGGAATAAATTTATAAATATAGCCAAATTTGAAATATAAGTCAGTGGATAAAAACATTATTATGATTTTTTCAAAATGCTGTGTTTGTATTGTAGTGTTTTTTCCCTTCATATTTGAAATTAATTTTTTTGTTAATATACATATTTCCAGGCAATTTAGAATTAATCACTCGAATTGTTTGTTTTTTAATAAAATGTTTGTGGGTTATTTACAAAAATAACAAAAAGAAAAAAAAAAGAAACGGGATAAAAAATAAGTACATTTGAGGTAGGTGCATTCATATTAATACTTCATTGCTCTTGTTTTATTTTTTAGTCAATAGAATGCCTAAACTTCCTCTTTCTTTCTTTTTTTTTTTTAACATGAATGTTACTCGTTTAAATTAATTTATCATCTCTCATAAAATAAGATAAGATAATTATCGTTATAAAAATTTAATATATTCAAGAAAATGGTTAAAGCACTACCAAGAGGTCATGAGTTCGAATCTCATCTCCACATGTTGTATAAAAAAAATGATATTTAAAACTTTCATGTCAAAGCGAGTCTAACTTAGTAGTAATTATATCATATGAAATATATATCTCTAATCAAGAAATTGTAAGTTCGATTTTACCCAACATGTTATACTTGAAAGAAAAAAAAACTTTCATTTCATAAAAACTTCTTATTCCTATTTCAAAAATTTAGGTAAACAACATCAAATAAAACAAATAATAGTCACAATATATTCGAATTTCTTTTCGAGTAATTCTTAATCATTCAGTTTCAAAAAAAAAATAAAAAAATTCTTCATGATTTTTAATTATATATATAGAGAGAGAGAGTGCTGGAACCCGAATCCGGAAGCTCGCGGGGTAGCTCTGAAAAATGGTGGGTATCTTCTCTTGGTCATTTTATCGAACATCTTGGCTTCTTTTTCTTTCAGTTATCAATGGTGGAATTTCATCATGGGCCTCTGAATTTCCTCTTTCCATTTGCGTTCGCAGTCTGTTACTTTGCACACGAACCTCGGAGACATCAAGTGCGAGATTTTTTGCGATGAAGTTCCGAAGACTGCCGAGGCAAGTTCATCGTTCGTTTCTTCTGATTTTTAAGTTTACTCCATGTATCGGGAACTGCTATAGATTAAGCAAGTAGTAATTGCCTACTGATAATTTGATACCCCGATCCTTTTATCCGTAAGAATGATCAGACTTTTCTTAAGAGTTTCGTAGTGGTTAGTCGTGACTAGAACTCAATTCCTCGAGATGAAGTAAGGAGCTAGGTTTAAATTTGTCGTGAAGCGTATCAGCGTGTTTATTAGTTTTTGCAACCATTGCATTTCCGAAAGGGATATCTGCATTTTCTTTTAATTTTATTATCTATAAAACCTCGAGCGCGCAGTTCCTCCTAATTGCTAGAGGTTTATGGCTTGTCATTTGCCTTCTGCTTCACAATGGGGAGGGTGATAATTAAGAAATACTTATAATAACTGTAAGTAGTTTCTGGGCAAATGGTTTCATTGAAATTAAACTAACACTTAACTGACTTCTCTCGGCATATGTTAAGTAATGAAAAATTGCTTGTTTTCTCCTTCGTTGTTGCAAATGAATGGCAGCTAGCGAAGTTCACTTAACCTGAGTAATTTTGGTACGGCGTGTTTTGGTAATTACATTGAGATTGAGATGTTATTAATTAGTTCTCATTGGTCTTAGATTATGCATTAGTTTTTCATACATGTTGAATTGGCCTGGCTTGGCAAATAGAGAAGTAGCAAAGTCATGGATTTGGATATTGTCCATATTTAAGGTGTATGAAGCTGTAGACGTCAGAATGGTATCATTTTCTAGGCCAATGTATATTTACACTCTGAGAGTTGGAGAGTTGTTCTTCTTTCAGTTTTTCTGTAGCATAGGAAGTCTTCATTTCATTCCGAGAAGATTTTCTTGTCTAGCTTCTTGTTAACTCAGTTTATTATCTTAAAATGACATCCTTCTGTACGTTCATGTGCTTTTTATGTTAGAGTGCCTAGAAAATACTGGCCAGAATTCTGCTTCCTCCCGTTTTCTGTCTGCTGGATTTTTGTCATTTGCAATGTTCATTCTGATGACACAAATATTTTCTTGGTTACAGAATTTTTTGGCACTATGTGCAAGTGGTTACTATGATGGAACCATATTCCATCGAAATATTAAAGGTTTTATGATTCAAGGTGGAGATCCAACAGGCACGGGAAAAGGGGGAACCAGCATATGGGGTAAAAAGTTTAATGACGAGATAAGAGAGTCGCTCAAGGTACGTAATGAGATGTACACCATGTCATCTATCAGCTTACTATAACTCAAGCTTCTTGTTCTGACCTAAATACAATGGGAGACATGCTTATTCGATGAAAAATTGCATCCCAAACTATGCTGTCAAATCTGAGGTCCAAATCGGAAGTTCAATAAGGCTTCCTGTCATAAGCTGTTTATATGATCTAATCTGATTCCTATTTTAAAATTGTCTGTCTCTGTTCTGGTTGTGCAGCACAATGCAAGAGGAATACTATCAATGGCTAATAGTGGAGCTAATACAAATGGAAGCCAATTTTTTATAAGTTATGCAAAGCAGCCACATCTAAATGGATTATACACTGTATTTGGCAGAGTGATTCATGGGTTTGAAGTACTTGATATCATGGAAAAGGTACACGTTTATTTGGGGAGTTTTTTCTTTTTGGTATCTTCCCATGCCCTCACTGCCCTTCCTTGTGCACTCATCCAGCACTGTCCACTTGAGCACGACTTATGCAAATCAAGTTATATCCTTTTAATTTAACCACCACGAATTTTTCTTGTACTAGCATTTAAAAAAAAGAGCTGCAAATCTAGGTGTTTTTGAAGTCATGGGTTCTGCTTTGATAACCAACTAGGTAGGAGTCGTAGGACATAAGCAGGCTAAGAACTCCCAATTATTATAAATTGGTAGCTAGAGAAGATGCTGGGCATAGCTTTGCAGGTAACTTGTTGAGTATGATTTGAAGTATGAATTTGCTACTTGCATTGATTTGCAGCCAGTGAATCTTTGTTTTTTGTTGTATGGGTTCTTTATCTTTGAGCTAGCTGGTTAAAACGTTTAAATCGTTTACACCTGATAGAATCTCGATTCTATTATTTATTTTAAGAGAAGAAACTACAAGCCAAGGGAGAATTTGAGATTTCCCTGTTCTCTCCTGACACCATTTATTCATAAACAAGCCAAAAAAATCCCTATCCTTCTCCCCTGTATTGAGATATATACCCTATACTATGTAATACCATATTTGCTTCTCTAGCTAACTTTGGCCCGCGCCCGTAACAGAAATCTCACCGCCCTTTACATCAGCTGCTCACCCCCTCTTTTTTTCTTTCCGTAATATACCTTCCTAATTGGGGTCTACCAGTGTCTTAACCCGATGTATTGCTTTGTGCAGACTCAAACTGGAACCGGAGATCGACCTCTTGCAGAGATCAGGCTCAATCGGGTTACGATACACGCCAATCCTCTTGCTGGCTAACCTTGAATTAGCAGCAGTTGAAATGAATATTGATGGAAGTCCCATTATTTGAATGATACAAATTGTTTAGAGTTAAATGCTGCTGCTATGATCAGCTAGAAGCTGTTTAGTGAAATTAACACGACTCGTTCGAAATAGAGAATCAGAAGTAAATCATACACAACTCGCAATATGGTATGACTATTTTCAGATGTACAATTTTCTCTTATCAATTTTCTCCTGTACTGAAAATTTCGTGTATGTTTGGTTGAATTGGTTTTATGTATTCTCCCAAACCATATTTAGACATTTTTTTTTATTTAAAAAAAGCAAAATCATATTTAGACAATCTTGTACTTGAGGATTTCCCCCCTTAATTTCAAAATTTTTCCTTTGATAGATTTTAAAGCTAAATGTTGAATTGCTTGTAGGAATTGGAATAGGACGGTGGTGAAATTCATATTATTATGTTTTTTTTTTAAATAAAACCTTGTTTATTCACGATGAAGTTACTTAGTGTATAAACGTATTTTGTAATTTCTTTTTAACTTTTTAGGGTTCTCATTCATTTTTCTGAGACCTTCTATAATGTTGTTGAAGTTAATGGAGTTTGCTTTTTAATAAAATTTAATTACCGCAATTTCATTCTTCTGCAAATTTTGAAACAAGTAATTTAGACAACTTTAATAAAATGCATATATATATATATATATATATATATATATTGAACTTATAAAGAAAGGAAAATATTTGTAGAATATTCCAATAGTAATTCTCACAAATTTATAATGTTAGATTATTATTTTAAAAATACGATAGTAGAGCTCAAACAAATCAATAGAATTTAGGGTGCGTATTGTTAGGTATTGTGGAAACAAAGTTTTCAATGATAAATCATAGTTTATTTCATGTTTTTAATCTTTTCTGAGTACGTGTTTTGTAGAATATTTTAAAATTAAATCTCAATTTAAAATTTGTTTGTTTAATAATATATTAAAAAATTAGTAGCCAACTAAATATATTTAGTTGAATATAAAATATTACTAATTTATTTATTAACATATTTGCGGTAAAATTTGTATAATTATTACTTTATAATATTATATAATTCATAGTATATTATGTTTTACTGTTTTGAAAAAATGAAAATGAATTTATAACATGAAATAATATATTTATCAAAATTTGTATCTTTTAATATAGAATTTAGAAGCACTGAAAATATAAATATTATTTTCAAAATTTCCAATGTTTGGATCATATAAAAAAGAAAATTGAAAGTAAATATGCCAGATAAATATTCATTAAAACCGATTTCAGTCAATGAATCTGAAAATCGAATTCTCCAGCCGCTCTTAAAAATTATATAATATGTGAGCACAGTTTAAATGGTGTGTTTTTATTATTTTATTTTTCCATTATTTCTTCCAAGGGAGGGGCGATAAATATTTTGACGAACTGTGCTTGAAATATTATAAAAGAATTATTATTGTAATAAAAAAAAATTCGCTGTAAGAGTCAGTGAGCTAAAGCGTGACTGGCACTCTATCTTCTCATCGGCGCCGCTGTAATCCACTAGGGTTTCAAAATCCCCGCCAAATTTTTCTCTCAATCAAAGCGTGTCTGCCACTCTACATTGTCTTCGGCGCCGCTTGTAATAAGAGTTTCAAAATCCCCGCCAAATTTCTCCTTCTCGATCAAAATCTTTCAGAAAAATGGATGCAGATGATCACCCCGAGAACTCCCAATCTCGCAAATCCAATGCATTGCCCAAGGATGGCAATGGCTCGCAATCAAGCTTCTCCCACTTACCACCACCTCCAACTCCGAGGGAGTTCATCCTCTCCGTCGCCTCCAAGATCGCTTCCCAACCTCTGCAGAACTATGGTTCTAATGTATGGGGTGTTCTCACTGCGATTTCCGACAATGCCCGTAAACGCCAACAGGTTTCTGTCCATCCTCTACTGGAAAAGAAATCCGATTTTTCAACTCTCCATAGTGATGTTATTTTTTGGTAGACTGTATGATCTTCGACTAATGGAAATTTGTTTTCGAAACAGGGTATGAATATTCTTTTAACTGAAGATGAACATTTGCTTGGCCGAGTGGTAGCAGATAGTCGGTACCAGATTGAATCTAATTCGATCAGTGCCAACCATTGCAGAATTTATAGGAAGAGGATTTCCACTAAAGATGCTTGTTGTCCATCAGTTTTTCTGAAAGATACAAGGTTATTTATTGCAAAATTTCTATGGTTTTCCATGTATTTATGTGCAATTATACTGTTGTGCTTCTTAGGTGACTTTATTGTGTTATGTGCAGCACAAATGGAACGTATTTAAACTGGGAGAGGTTGAAGAAGAATAGTCAGGAGGCTAAAATCTGCCATGGGGACATCATATCGCTTGCTGCAGCTCCACAGCACGGTATTACTTTAAACTTTCATTTGTTTCTACCGTGGTTATTCCTCCTTTAGTTGGCATAGCTACCCCACCCCAATTATTTTTTATTTTTATTTTTTTTCTAACAAGAAACAAACTTTTCACTGATGATATGAAAAGGAAGAAAACGTTCAAAGATACAAGCACCGAAGGAAGTGAAAAAAGATGTAAAACAACTAGCTAGGAAGAAGAATGTAGAAAATACAAGATGTGGTGATTTTATCACATTCAAAATTTGTGTAGAAAATTATATTTGAAAATGGTTAGTATTAATCATTCAATAGTCACTGACCACTTTTTTCCCCTTCTCCCTGTAACACGATTTCAGAAGTTGCATTTGCATTTGTTTATAGAGAAGTGGTTGCATTTACTTCATCATCAGATGGTGGACCTGCAAAACGAAAAGCAGGTAACAATATAGCAAAGTGGAAAGTACGTATTTTCTAATTTTACATATTATTATTATTATTTTGTGGGTAGAAAAAGTGTAGGAAGCTTGAAATGTAATATGCTTGTAGTGTGCTTCCTGATCTAGTCTCTTGACAAGTTTGAATGTCAATTTTGATGTGACTAATATAATATTTGCATGTTGTTGCTTCTATGTTATACAGAGAATGTTGTTTCTGAAAACAAAAGGTTAAGAGGTCTTGGCATTGGTGCTCCTGATGGTCCAATATCTCTTGATGATTTTCGAAGTCTTCAACGTTCAAATAAGGTATTGTTGCCCTTGAGGATATTTTATCATGATATTGATTTTCAGCTTTAGTGATCCTAAATTATGTCAAATCTAGTAATTGTTTTTTATCTATGTTTCTATACGTAGGAGCTTAGGAGGCAGTTGGAAGATCAAGTGCTTACGATTGATGCATTGCATAAAGAGAATCGTGCATCCAAGGAGCATCATGAACTTGTATTTAGACTTATGTCATTTATCTCTCGATTTTCTCCTAGTATGACTAACATATTTGAATGCATGCAATTGATAGTTTATACAATTGTGAGGGCTAGTAACCCCCTTTAGCCTTTTGTAATTTCATTACTCTCTATTTGCTTAAAAAAATAAAGATAGTTGATACAATACAATACAATTGAAGGAGAACTTTTTGGACTTACTACAGATCCCTCTATAAATTTGCGCATTAGTATACTATAGCACGTACTTAATGTAGACTTTTCTACCATTACACCTTTCCACGAGGAGGTGGCTATTGGACATGATGAGTGTAGCTTTTGGTGCAAGGGGCTTTGCCACATTCTACAATCATACCAAATCTTGGAAGACAGTGTAAACAGGTTCTTTTATCTTAATATAATAGGTAGAGACCAATTTGAAGGAAATTTTTTTTTTTTTTTGATAATAAACAAAGATTCATTCCAAAAGAAAAAAGGAGACCGAAAAGAGGCATACAACCTAGGGTCAAAGGGTCGAGAAGACCCTCCCTCAAGAAGCTAAGAAACTATACAATCAAGGAATTCCAACTCTGAAAAGTCAAAAGAAAACCGTAGTTACAAAAAGCCTTCTTGTGGATAGAAGCCCACCAAGAAGCTGTATGCCTAATATTCACACAAAAATCTTCAACGGAGCTTCTGTTTCTCTGCAAAAATTCTGTTGTTCCGTTCCTTCTAAAGCAGCCAAAGAAGAGCTCTCGCGCCACAACTCCTCAGGATGAAAGATTTTCCTTTTAACAAGGATCCTCCAAAGCCTTCTTCTATAAAATCATCTATTTTCCTTGGTAAGCAGAGGGTCAGGTCTAGATAAAATGTCAGGTAGTTCCAAGCTTTTGCAGCAAAGGGACAATGTAAAAAGAGATGATCCACCGTTTCTGTGTTCTTGAGACACATTCCACACACTGAGGGAGAGAGGGTCCACTGAGGTAGTTTCCTTTGAACTTTTTCAGCTGTGTTTGTGCCCCTATAGAAGAGAGTCCAAAAAAAACTTTTAACTTTTTTTGGTACCCTGAAATTTGAAGGAAATTTAGCTTTGGCTACTTAGTGGAGCTTGAGTATAATCTTAATAAGAAATGAACAAACTTCTTCTAGGAGTTAATGGAGCCTTCTTATTCACAAGATCGTGCCACCCTGCTAGAGAAGATGTACACGTGTCTAGTGCCAACTCCCACTAGAAAAACTAGTAGGAAGAATACAAGTATTCCCGTGTCAGTGATCTTGAGAATCAGTGGGACAGGATTGTGTCAGCCTGCAACCGTGCAGCGAGATTTCCTCTTGATAAACTTGTGAATGTGCTTGTAATTCTTCCTCCTTTTTGAGGATATGAATGTGCATCTAATGTTAATTTCCACTAGAAAAACTAGTAGGAAGAATACAAGTATTTGCGATCTATCACCTTGAGAATTAGTGGGCAAGATTATGTCGGGCTGCAAGAGTGCAATGAAAGTCGACGTCGATAGTTTCAATTTCTAGCATGGGTAGACCAAATCAAGAAGAAAACAAGCCTTAGAAGAAGACTTCAATGCCTCAGAAATAGTTATTTCTAGACTTTCTTCACGTCCAATTACAGCGTTTGTAACCTTTTGTCATTAACGGAATCTTCTTTTATTTTTTTTCCTTCCTGTTCTGTTTCCGTCCACATACCTATATTGTTTTGTAAATAGGTTATAAAATACCATTTGAATAATCAACTAGTATTGGTTCTTGTAGGAGGTCAAAAAGGTTCGAGAATCTGTATCAAAATTGTATGATGATGAAATTGCCAAGTATCAGCAGTCGACTGACCGTGACCAGAGGGAACTTGGGGAGGCTGCTAGATTAGCTTCAGAGCAAAAACATTCTATAGAAGATCTTCAAGAAAGACTAAGTGCTACTGCACAGTCATGCAAGGAAGCAAATGAAGTAATAAATAGGTACCATTTTTATCTCTCTGAATTGAATAGTTTTGAAATTTGATTTGCTCCTGAATTGAGTAGTTTGGTGTTTAAGTTGAACCCAAAATTATTGTTATTGTATATTATCACTTTAATTTCTAATTTTACATCATTTATGCAGTTAAGTCCATCTTACTGATTCTTCAAAAAAAAAAAAAAAAAACGTCCATCTTACTGAAGTATATGTATAGATTTTATCAGGATCCAATAATTTTGTGGGATGATACGCCCATATACTGAGACGTGCCGATATATACTTTTGCATAGATATAGGAAACAGAGCAATTTTTCTCGAAAGAAGATGAATTTACTTGAGACTGTATAAGGTATCAAAATTTAACTAGTAATCAGCATCAAAAAGTCACTTCCTAATCACCTATCAATAGCCAACTTTCCAGATTTAGTTAGTTTCAATGTGTTCAAAATGTTCTGGTTGTGTTGCATAATATGAGAAAACATAGTTATGTTCCTTTTATTTTCTTTTAGCCAGAAGGCATCTTTAAGCAAACTGAAAGGCCAAATTGATGAAGAACGTGATCAGAGACGAGAAGAGCGAGAGAAGGCTGCTGCAGATCTGAAGGCAGCTGTACAGAAAGCTCATGCAGAGGCTCAAGATGAAGTAAAACGCCTTTCTGATGCTGCCTCAATGCGGGAAAGAGAACAACAAGAAGTAATCAATAAACTTCAGGTATAGTTGAATAATTGTTCCTTTTTTTTTTTTTCTGGTGGTGGCGGTGTTGGTTTGATTAAGGAAAAATTATAAAGTATCTCTTACAAATTCGTCTGATCTTCAGGTGTAGTGGCTCTCTCCTATGCATACTTTTAATGGTTCAATATAATGGTTTTGGTATTCCTCTAATCCTTTTTTTAATTTGTGGGAAACCGAACTTTTCATTTTGAAAATTGAAAAAAATATGAATGTACAAGGGCATACAAAAGGACTTGGTCCTACATCAGGAGGCCCCCCTAAAGAAAGGGGCTACAATTCATAAAGATAACTTCTGATAGATAATCACAAAAAAAACTTCGAAACCAAACCCCATAGTGAAGTATTTGAATCTAGTAAGCTTCTAAACATACTTCCTAGATTTCTCCACCCCCTAAAGATTCTATTATTTCTCTCCCTTCAAACCCCCCACGGAATAGCCAAGAAGCAAGCCTGCCACAAAAATTTTCCCTTCCATCAGAGCCCGGCAATCTCTGTTACAAACCCAAGGCACCCCAAAGAGCTAAAAAAAAGGCGACCCTAGATATCCTAGACGAACTGAAAATGCCATTGGAATATACTGCTTGAAAGAAATAGGAGAATATTTCAAAAAAGGAGCATAGGATGTCGAGGAGAATGTTTGGAATTCTATTGCTTTTGGGACTTCTCTTTGTAGTTTTTCTTCTAAAGAGTTCTGTAATTGTTCTCCCTTTGCGCATTTTTGTAATTCCTTGGAAATTTTTATTCATTTTATTATCAACCAGGAATCCGAGAAAGAACGTTGTTTGCTGGTGGAAACACTGAGGTCCAAGTTGGTACGAACATTTGAGAAATTTCTCTATTTAAGATTCCAACATCTATAAGTTAGTAACTTATGTGCCATATCAATTGCAGGAGGAGACAAGACAAAAGTTAGTTACATCAGACAACAAAGTTCGCCAGCTAGAATCGCAACTCGGTGAACAGCAGCTATCTTGTGCGAATGAAAGAAAAGTAATGATTTCACATTTTGATTATGTTATCTGATATACTGTAAATAAAATTGCTAGGAGATGCCAAAGCTAATGCCTTGTTGAAATTGGAACAGAAAGTTGAAGAGCTTGAAGGTGGAGTAAAAGAACTGCAGAAAGAGCTTGAGAGTGTAAAGGTAGTCTTAATTTGTGTTCTTGACAGTCTCGATTTCGTTTAGGATACTTCATTCCTTGTTCCTTTGTTATATATTGTTCCTAGAAAAAATTGGCTTAATTGCCTATTCGACAAACTTTTGCAAATAGTTTGCACTTGTCACATTTTTTTTTCCGGATAACCCGGAATCGATAGCTCTTTGCAGTTGTCGCATTCTTAATCTGAGGTTTTTTTACTGTCGGTAGCAGGGAGCAAGAGAAGAGGCTTGGGCTAAGGTATCATCTTTGGAACTTGAAATAAATGCTGCAATAAGGGATCTTGATTTTGAGAGGAGGAGGTTGAAAGGTGCTAGAGAGAGAATTATGCTTCGGTGAGTTTTTTCTGGCAACATATAATGTATTTGCTGCTTCGGTTTAAATCGTAGCATCGTCCAAATAATTCTGAATGTTCTATTGCTATTGTCGACTCTTTAGTATTTCAGTTTCATATACGATGCACAATGCAGGGAAACGCAGCTACGAGCATTTTATTCGACCACCGAAGAAATTTCTGCTTTGTTTGCCAAGCAGCAGGAACAGTTGAAAGCAATGCAGAGGACTCTTGAAGATGAAGAGAATTATGAAAACACTTCTTTTGATTTTGACCTCAATGTATCCCTTGAGGCTGCAAATGGGATTCTACTTGGAGAAAGAGTACAGGAGAACTATTGTAACAAATCTGCCAAAACTAGTTCGGCCATGTCAGCTCAGAGGTTTGATCCAATCCAAGCCGAGACATCTACCGAAGAAGCCAGCACTGAAAAGAATGACGGTAATATTAGAAGTCAAGATTGTGAAAATACTCAAGAGGTAGAGTTTACAAGTGCTGATGCTGGCGTTAAGGGTGGTTTTGGTTCAGACATCGATGGCGTTGGCACGGCTCCTGTTTTGGAAGGAGATGCAGTTGGGACCGAACGAGTTCTTGAAACCGAAAGCCCTGGAGTTGATGGCGAGCGAAACACGGATTCGAACAAGGGCATTGCCTTAGCAGGGGAGACAATGTGTCTCGATGATGAAGGTCGCGCAGGAGAAACAAATGAGCAGGGTAAAATGATTCATCAGGAAGCCTGTTGTCATTCTCAGACAAATCAAATATGTGATGCTGTCGATGTCGATGCGAGGGAAGATACCGAAGCAGGTGGAACTGTCAGAACCGCAGACCTTTTAGCGTCTGAAGTTGCTGGTAGCTGGGCTTGCAGTACTGCTCCATCAGTTCACGGCGAAAACGAGTCTCCAAGAAGCCGAGGCAATGAGGAAGAAGGTGGTAGAGCTCTTCAAGACTCCAACAGCCCGGTGGCAGGGAGTCAAAGTGCTCCCTCCACTGCCGCTGCAACAAGACGGAACTTTGAGCATCAAGCATTAAGTGAGATGATCCAAATCGTCGCTCCCGAATCCAAACACTTTTTTGGCTCTAGAGAGGATGGTTGTGAGAGGGGAGGAGAGGAGTCAGCGTCTAGCTCAGATACCGAAAATTGCACGGACAACGATGACGATGCAATCAATAATAACGAAAAGGAAGCAAAAGAAGGGCGAGTCTCAGATTCAGAAACTCAAGGAGTCGACCTCGTGGATCCAGAACTAGATGATCCAATGGATCAAGATGATGAAGCCACACAAGAAGATTCTCTAGGATAAATTTGGTAGAAGCTAGAGCTGTAAATATTAAAGCATTCTTTGATCTTCTCATGTCTTCTCCAGGCATATTAATTTAATCTGCCGAGCTTTATTTTATTTTTTCACTGCTATTCTGGAATGAAATTGTTAGCAGAGTGAATGTTTAGTGTTGTTTAATGTACATGATATTGAAGATTATGAAAGTTGGAAATTCTAGTAGGCACCATGTTCCTGAAGTTGTTTAACGCAATAGCTTCTGCGACATAATGCGGTAACCTGTTCGTAAATATCTAACTCAGCTTATACCTATTTCGATCAATCTCACGAGACAAAATCGGTAAGATTTTAATATCTTTATCGTCATTTTTAAACATCTCTTACTTCCCCTTTGAAAATTCTTCGTATTTTGATTGGAGTGGAGCCTCAGACGAAACAATTCAATCATTGCTCCATTGAAATTTATTTGGCCAAGCATAATACCCAAAGAACAATGGGAGCTGGCAACTTATCTCTTGGATTTGGTTCCTCTAAAGTCACAGATTTTGACTTCACTCACCCAAGTGGATCTTGAAATTATTATGGCCTCCCACTCTCTTGAAAATTTTACGTTTTAAGAAAATTTGTTGCAAATAATAATTAGAGAAAGGAAATCTCCGAATCTTACCGACAAAATTTTGTTCTGTTTATTTATGTACATGTTTTAGTTATGATATTTATTTAAATATAATGTCAGTCTCTCAAAATATAAAAGCACGAAGGTAAAAATTATCAATACTTTGAAAACAATGTTAACTCTAAAATTTATGGCGGTGTCTATCGTTCGACTTCGATTATTTTACATCTGGTTCCAAATGACGTTTATATTCTTAATGCAATAGTGTTCATTCTAGAGACCAAGCTTTGATGGGTCAGTTTGAGATTTATTTTTATGACTGAGTTGCTTTTATTTTCTAGCTCTAATTTGTGTTCTTGCGTTGTTTGTTCTTGGTTTGTTTTGTTGTTGTCTTTCTCACTGCTCCTACTACATTTTTAGGATTGGATCTCTTTGATCCAATTGTGCAATCTCAGACATTGAGATCCAACTTTTTTCTTGTAATATTTGGAAGGAAAAAAGAAGTCCATTCCACAAAAATGTTTTAGAAAAAAAAAAGAAAAAGAAAAGGCAGTATTGGTGTATTTATTAGGTTCCAATTTAGTTTCGATTCCTAAGCTTTTATTTTTAAGAACAAAGTAATGCAATAATATTTTAAGAATTTTGAAATTATTTTTTTTTTAAAATGGAAGAATTTTTAAAAATGAAAATCCACAAAACCAAGTAGAAGCCACGGATGTCGTAAAAAATAATGGAATTGAGTTTCGGACTTTCGGATCTGATCGAGTGGACTAAAGTGAACGGACGGCCCAATCCTTTTGCCAAAAAGGGCATTAAATAGGGACATTTTTTCCATAAATGCCCTTATGTATTATTTTATTATCAAAATACCACTTATAGGTTTACGTTTATATATATATATATATTTTTTTTTTCTTGAATTAATATTAATATGAAATTATAAAAGTGGTAGCTTTACATTTATATCCTTCACATTATTATCACTTGAAATTTAAAAATATCAGAATTTCAATAAGGCTATTGTTTAAAGATTAAAAAATAATATTAAAATTACACATCAAAAAAAAGATTAAGTTTAAAGCCATTTTTATCTAAAAAAAAAGTTTAAAGCGATTTAATACGTATCATCCAATCATGGTTCAGGAACAAAGCATACGTAATAAATTATGCTTTAAATTTTCACTCTAAATTATTAAAGGTTTTTATTTATTTCAAATATTTCTTTTATTTTTTCCTTTTTATAATCATTATTTGAGGTGGAATCATTATTTTCAATATTCAAAAGTTTAATTTTTCATGCTATAGATAGGTAGGGGTTAGGGTACCCATTAAATTCCTAAAAAATATTATATATATATATACTCAAATTTATTTTTTACAACAATACGCCTTAGTTGAATATACGATTAACAATTGATTTATAGTCAAGTAAAAAATTAGAAAATCTTTTTTATTTTCGTTCCTAAGAATGGAGAGGGTGTGGTGCACGTGATTGATACATGTATACATGTTAATTAATGACCCTTTTATCCTTTTTTTAATTAAAAACTTACCTTTTTAGTGTATTATGATTTAATTATTTAATTTTAACTTTTATTTGTTATGATTTTTGAACTTTACAATCGAATGTTTTAATCCTTTCGATTAAAGTATTATGTTGTATTTAATAAAAAAAATATAGAAACTAATAGCTTTAAGATTTCCTTTAAATACTGTAAAAAAGTTTTAACAGAGATTTGATTGCTGTTATATTGTAAATATTTTTATTTTTGATTTTCATTTTTTAAATAAAATTTAAGTTAGATTAACTTTTTGTAAATAAATGTTAACCTGAGCTAGTTTAACTGGTTAAGACATGAATCTAATCAAAATGTCACGAGTTTGAACCTCCCCACTTGTTTTTGTACTATAAAATAGTAAATAAAATTTTCAAAAAGATGATGCTTAATATAATTCAATGAGATTACTATTAAATATTTATATATATATATGCTTATGATTCAGTACCTATTCGCTATCAATAAAAATTTATATATATTATATTTTTTAGTTTTTAAAAAAATAAAGAGTTCTCAAATTTTTATTGATAGCGAATAGGTACTGAATCATAAGCATCCAAGTATTGTTCAATATTTTTTACTAAGGCTACAACTTCACTCGAAAAGTACTTATATTGAGTAAGTTTTTCCGAGTTAAACTTTAAAACAAGATAATTCAAATAAAAAAATACTAAAATTGTAAAAGACGAGAAGGATATTTTGATAATTTTACAATATTGATAAGAAAAGGGTTTTCTCCCCTTCTCAAATACTTCCATGATTAATACATCAATTATATATGACATTAAACAATATATACAAAAGAAGAGGAGGGGATATTTTGATAATTTCACAATACATACATATTTAGAAAAAAAAAAGAGAAAAAAGAAAAAAGAGAGAGAGGTTCACGGACTTCCATTGTTGATACATTCATTATGGTTTTGCAAAAAAGTTGATGGGTGATATTATTGTAAATTGCATAAGAAGAAGTGCAATGATGAAAATAGATGAGATGATGATGAAGAAGAAGAAGAAAAATAATAATAATAATAATATTTTACTAAAAAAAAAGGGAATTTTAGCAATCTTATGGGCAATCAATTGCAATGGATAATTGAATTTGAGTGGCACAAGGAAACATGGATTTCTAGTTTGAATTTGTAAAAAAGGATGGTGATGAGGTGGCCCACACTCTTTGATGCTGAGAGGTACATCAAAAAGTACACCATTTTCTTCTTACTTTGCTTAATATTAACCCTAATTTAATCCAAATTTATCCCATTTCTTGTTAACTTTTTCATTTTAATTTTGCCCATCTTTTCAAACATAAATGGACCCCAAAAAAAAAAAAACTCTTTACTATTATAAGGCAAAGCGAAGAATCAAATGAACAAACTTTCTCCCGACCAGTTTTCCGTGACTTCTTTTGCAAGTTCGTGGGCAATGTAACTTCTTCATCTCGAGATGTGTGGATGAATGAGTCAATCTTTAGATTTTGCACATGATCAAGTACCTTATCGATAACTCATGTTGAGTTAGAATTTTACTTCTTGATTATAATGATAGTTTTTGGATTATTGAAGTTATCATAAGATTCTTTGGACGTGCAGGTTCTAATCAATAATTTTTTCTTTTGGGCAATGGTAGAGGAATTGAATATAATTTACATAAACGAGGTACTAATATTTGATTACTTGGGCCATGGGAGGGACATAGTTAAGTAATGAAACTAAACCTGGTCAAATGTATCCGTAATATTTGAATCAGATTGATTTATCTATCTTACAAATTACAATTGTTTAGGGGAAATAAGTGTAAATTTTGTATCTTTAAGGTTTATTCACCTATTTTCACCTTATGGAATTAAGAATGGTGACTTAATGTTATGTTTTTATATGATGGAAAAAAAAGAGTTTTTATATTCTCTTAAATTCAACAAATTGAGGAGATTGAGAGGTCAGAATTAGAAATAATAATAAGTGTTACCTTTTAAACTATGCTTGAATTAATAAGAGTTATTAATGAGGTAGATTGAAAAAGAAAACAAACCTATCTAATTATATTATAATCAACAAAATAGATATTCTTTATAAAAAAAATTATAATTGATTTAATTAACCCAAATAGTTTTTATCAAAACACATAAAAGCAATTTAGCTTCTCTCGTTAAGTTCGGGATTCGAACTTCTAACCTTTTGGTCGGAAGGTATACGTTGAATTATGCTAAGGTTGGTAAATTAAATTTATTTAAATTCAAACAAATTTATAGAAACGTAAATTTGTAAATCACAAATGCATGCAGGTGATTATGTATTAGGAAAAAAAACAAGTAATTACATCAAATGAATTCTTTTTAGACAAGATGAGAGTCTATTTAATCCTTTTTTTTCTCCTCTAGCTATTTTCAGAAAATAAGTTCTAATTTAAATTAAATATTAAAAATTATGAGATGTTTAGAGTAAACTTTTAAGTTTTAAAACAATTATTAAAAAAAAACATGTTTTGAGTGACTTTAAAAAACTTGTTTTGAAAAACTCTTCAATAATTAAAAAAAAAAATCCCAAAAACCCTTTTATTAACCAAAATTTATTTTGATAAAATTTTTCAAATATACTTTACATTTCGATTAAAAAAATTCAAATCTTGTGGATCCCATTTATTGTCTAGTGATTTCTTTGGAATTTTATTATTTAGGAAAAAAAATGAAAATTCACTGCTTTGTAAATTTGTCCTCTCATCTCAAGAATCAAAGATCATATGATATGCCTCAATGCTTGTACTCTATTACAATTTGTCATGTTTCAATATATTTATTATTATTATTATTATTATTTTGCCCTTTTGCAATATATAAAGGAATTTTTATTATATACATATTTGAAAAAATATATGTTTTTTATTTATATAAAAGTTTAAACAATTAATTGCGGTTCAACCTGACATATAACATTAATCTGTTCATT